GAATAAATGAGTTTTTAGTTAGACATAAGAAAAATGAAGTATTTTTAATGAAGAAAATAAAAGTTGAAATCAACTTTAGAATTCATTGATTAACTAAAAATATGATTCTAAACATTTTGAGTTCAGTTTTCTTGAATAATATTTTCTTTGTTTCAATTCTAAAATATCGACAAATAAAATCTATTTTCATTAGTGAATCTATCGAAGTTGTCAACAAAATATAAAAGATAATTTTTTTCAAAATCTTATTCATGAGAGAAGTTATAACAAAAGTAGACAAAGAATCTGATTAGAAATTTATCTCTTTTGGGTGTGGGTGTGGGTATGGGGGTGTGGGTGGGTGTGGGTGTGGGTGTGGGTTCATTCTGCTAATCTCTTACACACGCCCACACCCAACTCACAACCACACACCCAACTCACAACCACACCCCCAGGCACACCCACACCCAATTCGTTTCGATTGATTATTACCTGTATATAACAAGAAATAAGATGATGAAAAGTAATAGCTAAGATTCAGCAGAATGATTTTGTACTTTACTACGAATACCAATGCAGCCTATTTTCACTATGATTCAAGATGTTCTTGTGAGTATTCATGCAGCATTCCTTAATTCAAATATGCCTGATGATGAACCCATAAAACTTTCGAAACGTGTTATGTACTTCTTTGAGTTATCCCCCGCCCCCAAACCCATGCTCAACTTTCACCGCTGAAAACAACTGCATGTGCTATGTGATCACACTTACGTTCTTTTTATTGTGGAAAAAAGAGCAACACAACAAAATTGCCTTAAAAGTCTTTAAACTTTTGGAAAAATTCACTTTTTTTTAATATTCTCTGAACATTGACAATAAGAGAAAACATGGCCAATAAAATTATACCGATAACCACAACCATCATAGCCATGGCGAGTGAAATAAGTATCATAACCCTCGCCACATTCGCAATCAATGTAAGTTCTAATATGACCACCATGATAATTACGACGACGATCATAATAATAACCAAAAGAACCATTACATGGGGCACGATCACGACGCTTGAACCGCCTAGAAAAGTTACCATCGTCCCACAGCTTCCTATCTTCTTCATCCCAATTCTTCACACTTATTATCCATTCCCATGTGCTCAGATCGCCCTCATAGTACCAGTCACGGCATTTGCCACAATTGGTACAAGGACGACCTTTACAAGCCAACTCTGCATAAGAGCCCGGAGCAAGAAATTCTAAACAAGAGTATCAAATTGGTAATGTAAATACAATAAAAGAAATGAACTGATGATCATGTTCTACATACCTAGAAGATGTTCCAGTGGACACAATTGAAGCATGGCGAGAGGGAACGCTCAATTTAGAGTCCCGCTATAGAATATTTCTAACTTCTCCTCGTGAGAAGTAAACGCAGGGATAACCCAGGTTTTTCGGCATAAGTAATTCAATAAAACATTACGATGGTCATTCATTTTAGATAAAGTAGCAACTCATTTCACTCTGTTCTACTCTAAAGATAACGACCGAATAAACGCCACACGAATAGATAAATGTCAATTCTAAAGAATCTTATTTCACCAGGTATGATAGGAAAATGCTAAATCTGCAGGGTTCACTTATAAAATATTCTAATGGTCAAGACATTTATGCATGTAACAGAATTTATGTTACCATGTTCTGATTTGAATTCTCATATTTTCCTCATAGTGAATACCAGGATCTTGACCGTTTTTGAAAGATCTATGTAGTGAATGGGTTTCTTTCTGCTCTTATTCTCACCTTCATACCTTCACTTCTGTAGAGAAAATTCCTCATTATCTGATCAAACCAAATATACGCCCCCCCCCCCCAGCCCCCAGAATAAAAAGACATAGCTTTCTACTATGTCTCAGTAAATCGGCCTTTTTCGGGTGGCATTCTATTATGTCTGGTCGAAAAGTTTTTCAACATTTTTCCTTGAAATTGGTATGGCGTTGTATTATGTCTAAAGAATCAAATGGTCCGGGGTGACCTTCTATTCCGGGTGCCTTTCTATTATAGGGTGGCGTTCAATTCTGGGGGTGGAGGGTTACACGTTAGCGTCTAAAAAACTGAAATTGAATATTTTACGTAATGGTGTTTATTGTAATATCAGCAGTGTCGCATATTCTGGACTTTGGAGAAGTGCTCACATTTCTGCTGGGAGATGCTGCGTTTCCAGCAAGAGATGCAGCCCCCATTATGAGGAATGCACATCTCTCGATGCAATGATACATCTCCAACAACAAATCACCGCATCCCCCGAGTATGGGTGTCGCGTCTCCTGTGAGAGAAGTAAGCACTACTCCAAAATCCAGGACATGTGACACCACTCTAATGATGGCATGTTTAATAAAAACTCAAACTCGAAAGCTATGCAACACTTTGACCGAAAGAGTAGAATGGATTTTCGATTCAATTTGACAATTGGCTAAGAATTTTAAAACATCCCTCTTGTGTGAAGCGAAAGCAGTTCAGCTGGAGAATCGCGATCGATTAATGGCCGGTTTGCTAAAAATGTGTCTCGAATAAAATAGAATTAATTTTAATCAGAAACCGCCATATTCATCATCAAATTTTATCAATATAGAAATAACGCATAAAAATAGACACAAAATGCTCCATCTTTTTCGCAAAGTAAATTCTATGAAACAATTACCGGTAACGCATAGTTGATTGAGAAGATCCGTGATTTTGGTTTCTAACTGGCCGAGTTCGTCAATGCAATAGTCAATTTTCATGAGTGGTTTGAATGCGGATAGTTCGTTTGTGAATTGTTGTAAGAAGGTTGTTAGTCTGGTCTTATCTTGTAATAATTGGACATCATTTTTGGTAGACATCAGTTTTTCGAATTTTTCAAGTTCACTTGAGAGTGACTGTTGTTTGCTCTCGATTGATTTTCGGTATTTATCTGTTGATGGTTTGTTCTTTTGTTCAATCGCAACAATCTGAGTTTTCAGGTTTTCTTCACATTTATCAATCATTTTCCGTATCGTTGTGAAAGTTTTGATTATCTGTTGTATATTAATATTTTCATTCTCGCCCATTGATTCATTCGCCTTATTTGCTTCGTCTTCCAAACATTTTTGTGCATTCGCAAATAGTTCCTTTAACTAGTTAAACAGTGTGACTTAGTTTCATAGTGTCCTAGTAGCTCTGATGTAATACTCACATCTTTAGTAATGCTGGGTACAGGATCATCGATATGAGCAGTGGTATCAATTTTTTGCTTTTTAGAATGAGGGTAATCCTCATTAGGATGTTTCTCACATGACTTTGGTTTGTGTTCAATGGACATCCATTGATGCTGAGAAAATTGACGTTCTTGGTGCAGCTTGGTACAACATTCTTCACACATATCGCATTTACAATCGTTGCACCAATAATCAGCCGCTTTGGACGAACATTTACAACAAAGAGATCCTGCTAAAATGAAATAATATCTTCCAGACTGTATGTCATCCACAACATTTAAGCAAGTCTTAAGAAACCCTGCATCTGTTGTTTTCGTCGTTTTGATTCATCGCCCACAGTGCTTATTAAATGCCGTTTTCCTAAGAGACTTGGATTATTCTGTTGTTAGATTTTATTAAAAAATGACAATTATGCATAAGAGCGCACAAATTAATGAACTTTTCCTATGTCATTCAACTGTATAGTAAATTATTTTTATGCGAATGAAATGATTATTTTGCTTATAGAACTAGGAATAGGTTCAACTATGCACTTATAATCCTGCTCTGAAATCTCCGTTGTTGGATATGTGAGTGTGGGGTGTGGAGTGTTGATGACTGGGTGGACCTCGAGTCTTCTCTTCGCCCACAGTCAAACCCAGAACACAGCCCACAGATATGGGCATCAAAGAGAGCCTACTTTATTTGTGTAACAGTATCTACATTCTGATTGGCTGGAGGAGACAAACACACGTGCATTTTTTGAATGTAAGAACCTTTTCTTTAGAAAAGGGAATTAATGCACCCAAGACAATTCGTATGGAAACAAGGAAACAGGTGTGGATCAACAAAATAATTGCTGCAAATTGTAAAAGTAATCAAATTGTTGACTTGTTGCTCACCCGATGCTTTCATGGACATTTTATTTGATGCTACGTCAGTTGATGAATATTGAAATGATGAAAAAAGTTATTATCTAAAAGTAGAAAGGAACACACCCATGTAAAAAAGTACGGAAAAATCAGATTATTATGGATTAAGTTTTGATTTAAAATCGATTAAAATCCTAAACATTTTAATCGATTATTAATCAATCAATAATCCGTTAAAATCATACGTAATCGATTGTAATCACAAAAACCTTATTCTGCTACCCTTAATCGATTTAAAATCGATTATAGACAGGTTTTAAATTTGTAATTGAAGTTGATTCTATTTTGTCAAGTTACAGCCTTAAATTATTGTAAATGCCAGAAGTAAAAAGCCAACTAGAACTTCAGAAAGAGTAAGTATTCAGATTGTAACAATAAAATTCTGAGCAAACCATTGGTAAATGTCATTCTGAACCAGTGCATTAGAGAAATTGAAACACATGCTATTCGTACGAGTCATCTTTAACTTGTTCTCCTAGCACTTACAATGATATAAGGCTGTTTAATTTCACAGAATAGAATCAAATTCGACTATAAATCCAAAGACTGTTTAAGGAAATAAATTCTCTCCCAATATGCATTTATCTGACAAAATTTGATACCTCTATCGATACAAAAATCAGACAAAACAAGGTGCCTCATATGTACTTGGTGTTAATATTGGTATCGATCAAGGTAATGTCTCAATATGAAATATTTATTTGAATAAAATATCTGATTACATTTTTCATTCTCTTTCTAATGATGTATTAGACATTTAAATAGGCTAAAAACTGTCGAAAAGTGTCATCTTTCATAGTTTTCTTGTCTCATATTTCTGATACGAACTCCTCAATCACCATTTTTTCATCTCTATTCAAAGGAATCTATGGTAGAAAGTAGTCACGGCATTGAATACAATTTGCTCTTTCGAATGGTATGTATTGAAGAAAATTTTATATGAGCATATTAGGAATTCGCAAAAATAACGTGGTAGATAATTTTGGAAGAAAGAAAAGTAGCGCACTGTTAAGTTTATTGTCAATTCAATTTCGATAGATGAATGGATCGATTTGAAATTTTTCATGAATATACTAGAGATCATGAGCTCATGATATGGCAAAAACCAGATTATTCTAGCTCATATAGCTTGTGAAATATATACAAAACAAAAACATGCTGCTGGCTTGTTGGGTAATTTTGGTAGCCACTGCATCCACAGAGAACCATACACTTACATTTCATGATTAGATATCGATAGTGTGGAAAGACACAGGTAAGAACAGTTGACACAAATATAAGTGAGGTACAGGCTTACAGAGTTACAGATAGATATAGAGGGTTCGAGATGGATCTAGATATAAGGTCCAGGAATAGTGATACGGCATTACAAATAGATAGCAATAGGATGTTAGCAGCCTAGGTCTATCGTTTCGGTCACCAAATCCTGTAGGAACCTGCAGAAAAACATGGGAGATCTCAGGATACGGAAACAGTATTCAGGTCGGAACTTACTCAAAAACAATTCGAAAATTTTCCGGGCGAAATACTACTTCCGTACTCCCGTGATTTCCGACGTGTTACTGCCGAAACCGGTCAGTAATGCTTGCCCTGGGGATAGATAGATAGATATAAGGGGTTACCAATAGGTTCAAAGGTTATAAACGTATAGATATAAGAGGTTATTGATAGATATATGGAGTTAGTAATACATAAAGGCAACGATTTGGGATAGGTATAGGACATTAAATGTAGATAGATATGTGGCTATGGAAGTTATAGCGGTAAGGGGTGAGTATCCCAAGTAGATAAACTTTTTTGAAAACACGTTTAAGCGCACAAAAAAAAGATCAAAGGCGAGGAAAAGTTGGATTGTTCCGATCAAAACCAGAATTCCAGACTGTAAACGAAAACCGCTCATTTTTCGGTCTTGTTGTGCCTTAAAACATGTTTTCAGCAAAAACTCGCGTGTAAATGAATTAAAAGAAGATAAGTGGTCGTTTTTTCATAGTCGTTATCTATGACCGAGTCATAAGTAGGGTTCTGAAGTATGAAAACAAACGGCCACCTTTTGTCTTTTTCTAATACATACACACGAGTTTTGGGTGTGGGTGTGGGTGTGGGGTGTGGGTGTCGGTGTGGGTGTGGGTGTGGCTGTGGCTGTGGCTATGGGTTTGGATGTGGGTGGGGGGGGGGGTGGGGGTGGGGGCGGGGGGGGGGGGGGGCGGGCGGTGTGGC